CAGAGCGTTTCACATCCCCACAGGGGTTTGTGAGCCACTTGTGCTGTGAAATAACCCTCTGGCTGCAGCTAGGACATCTGGTGGGTTTTTGGCACCAGGCGCTTCCTGGCCTTGGGCTTACGGCGGCTGCTGCCTGGTTTGTTCTCACTTTGTCTTGCCATTTGCAGGTCTGTAGTGAGCAGAAGCTGTACTGCAAGGAGTGGCGGAGGAGGAAGCGAATGGTAACGGTTGTGCCATTGAACGGGGCTGGATGGGGAGGGCAGCACTGGGGAGGTGGCGGTGACAGTCCTGCAGTGACACTTGCGCTGTGACAGGGGCGTGGGGTCTGCTGGGCAGCTCAGGGAGCAGCCCCTGTTAGAGCTGAGCACCTTCCCGGTGCTGCGGTGCCGGTTGAGGAGACCTCAGGAGAACACTGTAGCTGTGGAGCAGCCGGCCACACTTGGTGCTGCCCCTGGAGCTGTGCAGGTTTGGGGAAGCCTCGTGGGTACCAAGACAGTCCCCTGGGAACAGGCTGTGTCACTGCAGTGCCCAAATATGTGAGTCCCTGCAGAGTTCTGCCTGTCCTCGGGAAACAAACCAGACTCTCCTTGCATTAGAGAGCGAGCTGCTCCCACTGCGTCCCCCGAGCTGCGCTGGCTTGTGACGCCTCTATGGGGGACAGTCCCCGAGAGCTGTAGCGGGGCTGCCTGGTGCTGGCAGCTTGGCGTGGCCACCCCGCAGCTCTCATGGTATCCCTGTCTCGCCAGGCGACTGAGCTGCTGGAGGCCATCCTGGAGGGGTACCCCAAAAGCAAGAAACAATTCTTTGTAAGTACTGAGGCTGGGCTCTGCCCCACAGCCCCAGGGTGGTGGTCGCTCTGCCTGTGCTGCTGGGCCAGGGCAGCTGCGCTGCTGAGACGCTCTGTGCTTGTACAGGAGGAGGTTGGGATAGAGACGGATGAGGACCATAACGTCACGTTGCCGGCAGCCGTGTGAGGCACTGAGGGAGTCTTTGCCCCAGGGAGAAGGAGGTGCTGTGGAGCTGATGCTGAAACTCAGCTGTTGCGTTGGTTTTTTTTCCTCTTTTTGCTCGGGCTCATCCTGGATATTTATATCCGTTTGTTTTAAAATGCTTTGCAGCTGGAAGGGTGGTTGGAGCGAATGACTTTGGACTGGGCCCTCTCACTGTCTCACTTGCAGAGGGAATGTAATTTCTTCCTGCCGTCCAGTGTAGTGAGCTGTCGGGGTCGGGTGTCCTCACAGGCTGTGCAGGGGAGGGTATAAGTACGCTGTAGTAGAGTCCCTCGTGTTCCTGTAAGAAAAGGAACCGAGTGCCCGAGGCAGGCAAGTGAAGCAGTGACTGTTACAGCTGCAGAGCTCTTGTATTTCAGCTGCTTTCCGCAGCATGACCAAGTGGTACACAAGAATACGATCCATTAAACACCAGGCTTTTGGTTCAGCGGTGCTTTGCTGTGGTGGTGTTCTCTCTTCAAAGGGTGTGGAGGCAGGGTTTGGGCTTTGGGTTGCAGCAGCTCTGAGAGGGGTGGGGAAGGCAAGAGCAAGGAGAGGGTAACCTGAACCACAGCAGCTGGGCTTTCAGGAACTACCTGTCTGTCTCTGACCAGCTCTAGGGGAAGGCTCCAGGAATGCAGCAACAGAAACAAAAGCAAAATCATCAAAACATTCAGCAAAATTTATTTAATTACTTTTCACAATAGAAAAATATGTTGCTTTCACATGTGAGGTCTGTAAAACTCCACATCCTCCCAAGGCAGGAGGCAGCTTCTGGCAGAGCATCTCCAGGGGTTCAGTCTGTGCCCCTTAGTCAGCCACAGAGCCCTAACCCACTCACCCACGAGAGAGGCTTTTCTTCATCACAAAGCAACATCTTCCAGGTGAGATGCAGCTGACCCTGTGCATGCTTTAGCGGTGGTGTGCATCACTGTGGGGTTTGACTCTGGGGCTTCCCTTGCATTGCATTGAAAAGGGGACCCAAGGGCAGGGCTTCAAGAATAATTCTGTGTGTAAATCACCCCCCAGCCCCCTAAAGGGGTTCTCTGCCACTAAATGTGGGTAGAAGCAGTAGCTTAAACATTCTCATGCTGCAGTGTTCAAACCACACAACCTGGAGCTGAGTGCTACCTCATCAACAGTGGAAAAACTGTAAAATAAATATCCACTACTGCTGCAGTGGGAGCACAAGTGTGATTAACAGAGAACAAATCCTGCTGCCGGCATCACCATGCTGGAGGAGCCCCAGTACAAGTGCTCTGTGGTGAACAACCATCGCTTGGGCAGTGGCTATGCCATACTGCGAAGCATCGGTGTTGGCCAGAGCCATGACCTGTACTGACAGCAGCAGCACGTGACAGGTTAAAAAGTGTCCCAGAGAGCATCTGTCTGCAAAGCTGGCACTGATAATGCTTCAAGATGATTTCAGTGATTTATAAAAACAAAAATAAAAGCAAATCAAGGCTGGATATATGTGTGTGTATGTAGAAGTTCTAAGGCGGAGCAGCGAGAGCTTGTGGCAGTGCTGTGCTACAGCTACTGAACTATTTTCCTGTTCAGTACAGCCACATCAAAACTCAGAGACAGAAGCCAGCCATCTTTCAGCACTCACCAGCAGGAGCAGGAAAAGCCTGCACAGAAAGCTCACTCCCATTTCTCCTTCAGGGGAACTACGGCTACAGCAGAAGAGGTCAGGTTTTAGCAAGCCCCCCGGGCGATGCCACCAGCTCTGCTCCAGGGAGGTCAGGGCTGTGCCATGTAAGCATCTCCCTGGCAGCGATGGGCTCATCCTTCAGCTCTGCCGGGCTTCCCCAAAGCATCTACACCACTTAACAAGACCTGCCCCATAACAGCTGCTTCAGAGGGAGGTGCGAGAAAGCCTGCAGTTAGGGGAGAGGCCTATTCCTAGTCTGTTTTAACAGAAACCAACAGTTTTTAGCATGCATTCTTGTTTCATTCCCCCTCCCCTGCAATCAGAAGGGGTTGTGTCAGAGGCCTGAGGTTACAGAGCAGATCTGCTCCGCAGTGGAGAGTCAGTGGCACAGGCAGATCCCAACCATCCCTGCCTGAGCTAAAGACTCGCTGGCACCTGAAAAGACCTCTACTCAGTACACTTTTTAATTTTTTTTTGTCCCCTTTGCAAAGTCCCTACAAATATTTGGTAATATCGACCGTGGAGCTGAGCTGTCTGCACAGCCTCGTTTTGGTTTCATAGTTAATACAATAAATAATTCAGAGAAGCTTTAAAAACAGCCACGAGGGAGACGGCCCAGCCCTTCCTGGTGCCCATCACCCAGGCCCCGAGGCAGGACATGCCCCGTCCCCGTGGATGTGGCGGCAGCCCCAGAGCCACTGGCGCTGCAGGGGGAAGGCTCAGTAGAGCTGACTCTTCAGTTGGTGCAGGACCCCAATCACAATGTCCCGCAGCGTCTGGGGCAGAGAGGAGATATGGTCAGTTGTTCCAGTGGGGGAACAGCCCATCACCAGTAAGCAACTCCCACTACAGTCTGGGGCATGTGCCCCGGGCATCCCCCCATAGGTCACAGCCCCGGGGCTGACACCTGCAGTGCCAAACACCACAACACCTGTACAGGGAACGCTCCCACCTCTGTTCCTGGGCCACGTTGTCTCAGGCAGCTGCAGCAGGGCAGGGACCTGGCTCTGCAACAGTGCCTGCCCCCCTCAGAGGTTTCTTAATCCCCAGGAAACCTTTAGGTGTCCTGAGGGTGTGATGGGGAACAAGCAGGACCCTCCTTCTGAACTCTGTTTCACCCTGGCCAGCTTTCAGCACCAAACCAGTTCAGCAGCTGGAGTGGGAGAGGCTGGAGCTCAGGCACCATTTCCTGTCCCCCCCATGCCCTCACCCCGCCCTAGTCCAGCACTGGTCACACACTGCCCTTTTGGAAGCCCCAGGAAAGGGGATAGCCGCACCCAGTCCTGCACTGGGTGCAGATGTGCGCAGTGGTCTCTGCCCCGTTTCCCTCTGCCATCGCAACAGCCCACCTGTGGCTCCAGCGCTCACCTGAGGCTTGCAGTGCTCCTCAATCCAGCTGAAGACGCATGCTGAGAGCTCCTGAAAACTTGTTACTGAGATGGAGGCGTTAAAGGACTGGAACAGGGAATCCATAATGCCTTGGAAAACATTGAACTTCATCTCATCAGAGATGTGGTCCTTCCCCTTGTTCGGGTTGTCCTGATGAGCTTTCACAATCTGCTCATAGTTCCTGAAACAAACCAAGTGTCCCATGTTCAGCTGCATGGTGAGGCCCCCCCATGCCCAGCTTCTGCTCAGCTGTGTGGGCAGAGCTCACTGCCTGTCACTGGCCATTGAGAACCACTGCAGGGATGAGGAGGACCAAGAGTTTGCAGCAGATCCTGCAAGTAAATAAACACTGGGAAGCTGCAGTTGCTCCTGGAAGTGGGAGCAGATTCATTTTCTGACTCAGATCCACCTTCATACTAAACTCCACCAAGTGACTCAAGACAGACCCACACTAACAAGCCACTGGAGGAGAAACAATGACAGCAGGCAGGGACAGGTTTGGTGCCAGGCTGCCTGCAAAGCACTGAGCACATCCACAGAACCTTGCAAGGATGGGGGAAAAATGGCAGGAAGAGGGCAGTACCCTGACAGCTCTTCCCTTACACTTTCATGATCTTCAAGGCCATCACGTCTTTCCTGAGGGTAGAAACTTCCTCCTCTTGCTTCTTCTTTTCCTTGTGCAGGAACTGGATGTAGTCGATGGCTGAGCATGAAAACACAGACTGAGGATTTGAGAGCACACACAAGCCCCCGAGATCCCCACAGAAGGTGCCTGAGCCTGGGCAGCACCAGCTCCCGGCTGCCCTGATTCTCCTCAGGGAGGTGGGTGGGTAGAGGTGGCCAGCACCTGGGCTCCCCCAGAGCATCATCTCACCAGAAGGTCCCAAAGTGCTGAACCTCCATGCTCTAGCAAGGCATTTTGGGGGCTGATAGCACCCCCTTCCCTCCCTCCACCCTCAAGACTCACTTTTCTGGAGGACGACGGCCTTGCTCAGCTTCTGGAAGCCTATGGAGAAATCCTGCTGCTCGCAGGTAGGAACGATGGCCTGCAAGTCATCGTAGCCTTTCTGTGGGGAAGCAGAGCCACAGCACATGTATTTGGAGTTCAGCAGTGTGAGACTGGTTGTTTCAAAAGGTGTCAAATCCCAATTCCCACCACACAACCAGCCAGAGCCAAGGTGGCTCCCAGCACATTTGCGTCTGGGAGGGTAGATCCAGCACCAAAACAGCAAGGTACTAGGTGCCGCAGGGCCCCAGGAACCAGCAAGTCGCTGCACTCTGACAGCACATGCAGCCTCTCAGATTACCTTGATGGCGTCTCGCCTCTTCTGCTCCGCCTGGGTGCGCGCCCGCCTGCGCTGGTCCTTGTACGATTCCTTGTAGGGCTCCTGGTGATAATCGCTGTCCTCATCATCTATGTGGAGAGAATTCACATGAGTGTGAAGAAGCCTGACTGGTGAGCTCCTGAAGCACGGGGGGCAGAGGTGCACAGGGAGGGCGACAGCCTGAGGTACCAGCCAGGCCCTACGGGCTGCGGCCAGGCCCTGGACAGCCCCGTGCCCACAGGGCAGCAGTCAACTCCAGCAGCTTGGGCCAAGGACAAACGCTCCAAGGGGCCCTGCCAGCCCTTTCCCTTGCCTTGTGGAGCCAGGCAGGAGGAAGATGCCTGCAGCTCCCTTGGGAAGGCGTCAAAAGCTGACCGATGCCCTACTCCAAACACTGCTGGAAACCACAACGCCCTGATGCTGTTCCCCACCACCTGCCCTCCCTCCTAGGGGTGGGAACCCTGCCCAGCCAGCAAGAGAGGCAGCTGTGCTCACACCCTTGGCACTGGGGTGAGAGCTAGAAGCCCCGCTACGTGCTGGGCACCACAGTGAGCAGAAAGATACACAGTCACAGATGATAAACCCCACAGGCCTACCTGTGTTGGGGACAGAAGAGG